TTTCCTGTAGTGAAATTCCTATACCTGATATACATACACACGATAAATTAATTGAAATCTTATTTATTAAGGGAAGATAGGTCTTTTTTGCTTGAAGAAGGAACTATTCCATTCGCCAGCACTCGTCAATCACAGGAAGATAAGCATAGTTATAGGCGCGAGTCTTCAAATTAGTCATGCTTCGTGAGAATGGCGTGGTGCTTCCATTTTTTTACAGTTTCAAATAAAAAAGGTATAATTAAGCTATTGAACCTTAGCCCAGTGAGTCGTTTGTTGATTGCTTTACTGATTTCTAGAAGAAGAACACAATTTCATTACTACTATTATACAACTTTCTCGAATATTATTATTCTATTACCTCTCTTTCCATCAAGAAAAAGTTTTTTTCAAGCTATTGATGAATCCACCTGAGTGGCCGAGAAGGCAACAATCTCGGCTAGCAACTCAATGGTCGTAGCTTCAAATCTCTAAGTGCGGTAGAATTTTGAAAAAAGCCGAAAGCCTTTGATGCTAGTGCTTTAAGACTTTATTTTGTACTAGAATTTATTTTCTCTGGCTAAATATATAATAATAATACTAATAGACTGTTGAAGTATTATTCCCTCTTATGTTAAAAATTAATCCGATGACTTACATTAAATTTATCATAATTGTCTAAGTATATTAAGACGGAGATGGAAGAGCGTTTTAAAATTCATTCTTAAGCGAAAAAAAAAAAATTTATTTATTTGTATGAATTTCTACATAAACTAAAGATAGATCTTAATGCGAGTCAAAGAACCGACGTACGAAGTTAATTTAGTTTCTATTTTTGCGATAAGCTTTTTATTTCGCCTAAGAAAATATTTATTTCTCATAAAAAATGGATGAAATTTTAAAAAAATTTTTTTTTTTTTTTTTTTCATAATTGAAACATTTCCTACTGTCACACCTTCCAACTTGAGAAATAATACAATTCTATCGCATAGTATTCCCGCATATAAAACGGAACTAATTATAATTGCATATCCTTTGCGTCGTTCTTTCCTTTTGTAATAGTTTTCCTCTCCACCAAAATATGAAAACGAAAAAAAAAAAAAGACGTGTGTCAGACGCTTGCTCATTTTATGCGCTCGAAACCTGTTTAATGGTGCCTCGAAAACTAAACCACTTGTTCTCGCCTTCATAATAATGCAAAAAGCGAAAAAACGAAAAAAACGAAAAAAAAAAGAAAAAATAAGTTAAACAAATTATGATCGCTGCGTTTTTCTCATGCATTCGAAATACATGATGAGAAAGCAAGGATTCCCTGTACCCACGCTTAAAACATTTGTTCGTCTTGTTCTCTTCTCGTTTTATCCTTTCAGGCTTACATGATGATGATTCTCAGACTCAGATTCTTCAAACAAATCAGATACGAAATGCACATACATGTACATACATAAACAAATGTCTGGATATTCAATTCGTTTCTTTATATAAACACTGGCATTTTTCTTTCTTTCTTTCTTTTTTCACTTGTTCTCTCCTACTCTGATGATGACGTTGAAAAGAATTTCTACATATCCTTGGGTTTTGTATGCATTACCTTTTGTTTAATTCGTCTGCAGGACGTTTTCGACTGTTTTTCATTTTTCTTCTTCACAATGTCTACCAATGTAGTCTGCTTTGCTGAGGCGGTCGGATCAGATCGTTTCATATTTTTATTTTTTTTTTCCTTTTCTCTTTTTTGTTTTTGGTTCAGTTTAACGAACCTTTTTTTTCACTTTATGCACTTGTTGCCTTATACACTACTAACTCTTGCATCTTATTCATGATAGCATTGCTTAGTTTTGCTTTCATATAGTATACAGTACAGTAGTTTGTTGTTGTTGTTGTTGTTGTTGTTATAATATAGCATATATATATGTATATATATATATATATTGAATAGTAGCTCTTCTTTAGAAATTTGTTCTGTGTTAATTTCAAATAAATCCGTGTGAATGTTAAATAATTAGCTGAGTGAATTTGAGCCTTCTTTGTGAGAGCTGATCGAGTGTCATTGTTAGGTTTTAACCGAAATAAATAAGAATTAGTGACTCTTTTATGGACGGGAATTACGATTCCCATGATTGCCATGATACGACTTCTGGTGCATTGTACGAGAAAGATCTTAAAATGGGTCTATGTTTATATTCTACGCTATTTGTAGTAGAATAGGTTTGCGTGGATCTATGTAAAAACTGGACTGAAGGACTTGAGATTGACCCATCTTTTATTATATCAATTAAATCCGATGCACTTTTTGAAAGTGATTGTCAATCGATTTGACTATGTGCGTCTGTCTGTCTGCAGGATTAATGTCTGCTTTGAGTTTAGCCAAGAGACCGTCATTTTGGAGATAAGGATGACTACGTTTGCTCCGCACGTAAACCCCTACTTTGAAAGGGTCGCTATATGAAGATCAGCGTCCATTTTTAATATTATTGGATAAAAGTCAATAAAAAATCGTATTCGTGTAGGACGGAACCATTTCTTGAACATTCTTATTAAAAAAAACTTTCATTTGATAAGCAGGTCTAATTTTTAGCAGCTGGTTGAGTATGAGTCTATTGTGGTAAATTTGGACTTAATCAATCTTGGGTTCGCAGTGAAGTTGAACGTCGGTTACACATGCAAATCGTTTCAATTTTCAGGGCCTTGCGGTATTTCAATTGATGATGTTATTAGAAGTAAAAATAATTCCCTTATGTTCTTATTGTCGCTATGTTATTCGAAAAAAAATGATTAACAGTACCTTAAATGATATACAAATAATATATGTATAGAAACAAAGTAAGCTATTAAACGATTTTTGGGCAGATCCGAAATCTTTCATAGGTTCTGCCTGAAAATATATATGACATGACCTGATGAATTTTATAGAATAGAGCAGAAGCTTCAGAGTAAGTAATGTGTCCGGAAAATTTTGAAGAATAGTGCGCAGGAAGCATACTTACCGCTTAAATTCAAGGGTCTTCTTATCACATAAGATGATATTGACCACTGCGCCCAGCGAAAAGAAAGCCGACAAATAGCAAATATCTGTACGTCTGATAAGCGCTCGGCTGATAACTCTAGATATACATATATAAGTAGATTTTTCATGCCCACAGGCTGACCAAGTGGGCGCTACCATTCTCTTTGAGCAATGAGAAGAAAAAATCGTTTTGAAACAACGTTAAATAAGTTTACCCCAAAGCCCTAATATGGTTTGGATAAAATTGCTTATGTCTATAGAACAAAGTCAAACCCTCAGAAGAATTTAGTTGGCACCAAAGCGGATATTTCTTTAACAATGCGCCAGAGATTAAATAACATAGTAATGAAGAAAGCCCTTATATGATGACTGTACTGATTCTTGGTGTGATGTCCACAAGAGCAAACAAAATCCGTTGCAAAGGGTTCACATCAGATGCTGTAAGAAAGCGATACCACCAAATTGTAGTCGGGATTGCGATTAGAGAGGATATGTAGAAAAGACCAATCCTTATAGTAATTCTTGACAATAAATTTTTGGAGTAAACAGCGAGCCAAAGAATCAGACTAATGTAGCGAACGTGAACGTGTTGCCGCCTTTTAATTCAAAAAATGAAAATTGGGAAAAAGTCCGTACGAAATGATAAATACATGGCTTTGATTTTATTAATTATAGACTTAGTCTTCGTTCTTCTTCTTACTCTGAGCTACCACAAAGCCTACGAACGCACAGTGTTGTATAGGTGCGACTTTTAATCGACTTTTAATGGATTCATGAACCATTTTTGGTAGCTTAGAGGGAAAACGAGTTATTTTAATATTTTCCAGACACGAAAGTCGACAGCTTAGTAACTACAATTTGCCAATGGGGAACTAGAACGTTTTTCAGCAGAGATACTTTAAATGCAACGTAATTTCCTTTAAGATATAATTAAGTAAATATCTTGATATATATTGTTATCGGCAAGCATTGTGATTCAATAGAAGTCTTCAATATTCGAAGGAAATTACAAAATTGACTTTTATAAATGAACAATGATTTTGGGAATTTAATATTTTTCTTTTTTCAGCCAAAATGTATTCGTGGTGAAAACGTCCAATTCTTATTCGGACAACCCGGTTTACAAACCGGGCACTGGTTTTCTTAGTGCAGATATGATATATTCTGATACCGTAATAATAACGATATGTGTATTATCGCCCAAACAGATAGGGTCATAATAATCGCATGCCAAGTGGCAAAAAGGCTTTTTGTGGTTTCCTTTACGAAAGGGTAGTCGAGCCCGTTCAGAAGTCTAAGAAAAAAAGAGGACATCAGGAATGTTTTGTGGGCCAGGAACAAAAAATAGCACGGAGGTAGTATTAGTTGCCTTGGTTAAGATCATTCTTCCTCGACTTCATACAAAATGGAGTAGTCTTATGGGAAATTTCATTAAAGCCGTGCGCAAAGCAAACGCAGTATTTGTATATCTAAGAGAAAACTTTCCCAGAATCAGTGATGAGAGGTGGAGAGTATTGATTGTAATGAAAGTGTTTTCTTACAGATGAAATAAATACCATACCATACCATACCATAAATACCATAGCGTCAACAATTACGAATATATTCGGGCATTGTGATCGATTGCTAGTCACAAAAGTACACACAAACAAACAATAGATATTCTTGTTATAGTTGCGTTAATTTTGATATTCCAGAGGAAACGATTTGAGATTTTTCCCGTTTCATTAGAAAACAGGGTTTTTAAGTTCCGCAAATTACTTGGGAAAAATGCCTTATGACGCGTGATATCTCTATGATGTTGCCCCGATATCGCCTATTTAAATAATCATGCTCGCACAAGCTTATTCACATCGCTTGTTGACTATATTTTGAAGCGAATCTTCGAATCACTTCAGTTATTTACACATGAATTATTTCATTTATTGTGCTAAATACAATTTATTTTAGCTTTCGATGGAAAAAAAGATAAATTGCAGCGATTTGTAATTAAGAACTAAACAAAACTTGAAACAAACTTAAGTAAACGTATGCATGCGTTAATATTTAACATAAGTTTTTTATACAGGCGTGAACTTAAAAAAAAAAAAAAAAAAAACAAATTAAAAAAGTCAAAGGGAAACTTTATGAACGAATTTGATGAACGCATTAATTAAAACTTAGTGAAACAAAATGAATAAAATAAACAATTTTCTTATCAACACATACACAAAATTATATACAAATCACAGATGATATAATACAATATAATGAAGAGAACAAGAAAAGTGAACCTTAAGTATATTAATTTATAAATATTAATGATCAAAAAAAAAAAAAAAAAAAAAGTAAAAAAAAGAAACAGTGAGTAAACTTAACGGGAAAAGATTTCTATTACCAAGGTCTCCAAACGCTTTGATCGTCATGATCTTGATCATGTGCACCGGACTCTTTGGCATATTTCTTGCAAGCGGTCGATTCATCCTCAGAACAAATGCTCGGATCAATTGTTTCCGAAAAAGATCTCTTCAACGAGTTGTTGCTGCTAGTGCCGCTGCTACTGCTGCTGGTGCTGCTAGTGCTGCTGCTTAATTCACTACCACTGGTCGAAGAGACTTGCTGCTGTTGCAAATGAATAGCAGGCGCAGTAGTGCAGAGAACAAATGAGCTTTCGGCACTTGATGGCGGTGTCGCAAATGCTCCCGTAAATGAAGTTTGCTTATTCAAATTTGTAGCGCTCGCATTGTCCTGAGAATTGTTGAAATCTGAACTGTTGTGCAAAATTGAATCTTCATTATGACTGGATGATATCGATGATATCGGACTCAAGGGTGGACTTGCAGTTGTTGTGGAATTGAAAGCTTGTTGCTGTTGCTGCTGCTGTTGGTGCTGCTGCTGCTGCTGCTGCTGCTGCTGATGATGATGATAGTTTCCCGTCATTGTCGTCTGCTGGTATTGACTATGAGATATTGTGGGTATTTTCATATTTGGTACTGTCGTATTAGACTGAGAGGCGTGGGGTTTAGTGAAAGCACTTAAACGCTTAAAATTCGTGGCGAAATCGTTAATTTGCGGCGATATTTGGCCCAAACTATTGTTACCATTATTGCTGTTATTAGGGGCTGTCGGCCAAGTACCCAACCCAGAGTTACTGTTACTATTTAAAAGAGCCGAGGTCATACTATTTCCCCCGCTTGCGCTATTAGGCATAATTAGAGCAAATTCCCCGGAAGGCAAACGAGAAGGAATTAATTGTACTCCACCCATTTGTATGGCAGCTGCTTGATTATTATTGAGATCTTGTGGTAGGGCAGGAAACAAAGAACTCGTTAACGGCAAGGTAGTGGGTAAAGAACCTAAAGTTCCAGCAAATCCAAAACCGTTCGGAGCTGCTCCGCTACGATAACCGTTTGTAAATTGTGACATTGAACCGATTTGTTCTAAATTTGTGACACAACCGCTTAAGTGATTGTTTAAACGTTGCTTGACTGCCGCATCTATACCTTCCAATTGATTTATGTATCGATTCACTTCATCGGCACATTCCATAAAGCCCGTCTTAAATTTATGTATAACTGTCGGATCAGTTTGTATGGCCATATTCAGTTGTTGACGTTGCACGGACTGTAAATGCTTTACGGTCATTTCCAAGATATCGGCTTTTTCGAGTTTGGTATGGCGGGCGGGCTGAAAAACAAATATTTGTGGAAAAATAATGCAGAAAGTAATGAGAAGTATATTAGAAAAATGATAAGTGAAGAGGAAATAAATTTTGATTATACGATCTGGTAATGACATGTCTTTGACTCCTTATACAACTGCGTGGCTTCCCACAATACAGAAAGAAGGTAATGCCAATGTTGGCGAATACATATTGGATGAGTAGAATATATTGTCAAGTACTGTCTGGCATAAATTCATAGAAAAAGTCAAAATATTGCGTGTATAAATAAGTTCGTCGCATGAGAATTTGCATTTGCTTTATAGAACATACTTCAACCGTTCAACCAGTAAAACTATTTCTAATATATATCAGTATATGTTAAGAAAAGATGGATGTCAAGAGTGGCACTGTTTAAACGGGGAAAACTTACAACTTAAGCTACAGAAATCATTGAATTGCCTTGGAATGGTACAGTTGGAAGTGATTTACGACATTGTGTGCAAAAAATCTTGGTCTTGGGGACAACGAACTTTTGCATACGTCTGTCTGTACGTAGCAAGAACAGGAACCAGGAAGCGATCTTGAGCTGAGCTTGGATTGAATTTAGCATCCCCTGATTGAGACCTATTTTCTAGATCTGTCTCCGTCTTATTGCCAATGGTTCAGCTTGCTGCAGATCATCGGTTCACAAAAGCTAAAGACGTAGGAAAGTAGAACGATGAATATTCCGATGAAGGTTCTACCACGAAGGCATCCACAAGCTACCCAATAAAAGCCAAAAGGTCATAGGTAATGGAGGCGAATTTGTCGATTATTAAGCTTTGTAACAAGTATGTTTTATGCAAGAACACTTTTATACGCCTATTATTTAGCGTAAAGGCGAGGAATTCATCCAATGGATCAAAGGCCTTAAAGTCCTTTCGGAGCATCCAAAGCAATTAAGAGTTAAGTTTCTGGCCGCACAGTGGATGCGCCAAAGTATTCCATTCGTAGGAGTAAAATCGTTGCCACCTCGACCGGCACCTGATAAAATATCCCTACGGAATTGTAGTCATCAATAAGCGAGACAATTGACGTATCGTGTTCCCTCTTACACCGGGTTTCTATATGTTCCAAACGACAACTTACACGCTCATATGAAGTAACATCGTCGTCACCTCGAACGGCAACTGATAAAATATCCTTACAGAATTGTACTCGTCAATAAGCGAAATAATCGATCGGTCGGGTTCCCTATGTTCCAAACAACAACTTACACGGTTACACGTTGATCGATGACGTCTACCAAGAAAGACAAATCAAGCGAACCTTCATTCATTCTTCACGGTTGAGTATAACAATCGCTTGTCGGTGCAATCCGTGATTTGTTTTTACTGTTAAAGGAGAAATATGGCAACACTTTGATTTTCCTTGAGACAAAGGATTTTGACAAGTTTTGCTTGTAAATCTTAACCGTTGAAATATTTGTGATATGAGTGCGACAATAGCAAGTATTTTCCCAGGCTACTAGAATCTCTTTCAAGTAACCGACGCCGCATTACTTTTTCATTTAACTGGTTTGTTTATTTATTTTCGTTTTTTTTTTGTTTTAATGTTTATGTTTTGTTCGCGTTCTTTAGGAAATTTTTCGCACATTTCTTTCTTATTTGAACAAAACCTGATGTGCACGTTATCGGAAAGGTATTCCTTGCGTTAACTTGTTGTTATCGTCGGTGTTATTATTATTATTGTTGTTCTTGTTATTGTTGTTGTTGTTGTTTAAAGCATGCAACTTCTAATTGATTACACAATTTGTTTTTACAGCAAACGTACATAGCATAAGAAAATTTCAACCTTCAACCAGACAATTAGAGTTATACGAAAAAAACAAAAAGAAAAAGTTGAGGCCACGACGTAGGTTTGTATACCTATCATGTTTGCTGTTGCTGTTGATGGTGATGATGATGATGATGATGATGGCAGCAAAATCCGCAACACGAACAACAAACACGACGGCAACAAATAGTTTAATGCAACTTATACGATTCAACAGCGAACACTTAAAGCCAGCAAAGCCAGCAGAGATGGACTTCTGAAGGTGGGAATAATGTGATTTCGCGCACACAATAACAAACGGACAAGCAAACGGATAAATAGTTAAAGAAAAACGCTAAAACTTGAAATTTCATTCATTTCATTAAATCGAAAAAAAAAAAAAAAAAAATTAAATACAAATACAAATAAAAGGGCAAGTATAGGAATACATATATTAATATCGTATAGGTAGATAGATATGTACATGTGTGATCATGTATGATCGATAAATGCTTGAAATAATCATTTCTTAGCATGTTGTTGCCCAACAATTCTTACCAAAAACCATCAGAAATATCGATCGTGTCTTTCTTTAAATGCAAAGATTCATTTGATAGTAGGGCTCTATATATATATATATATTTTTTTTTTTAAGGCTTTAATACATTTTTCCCACGCCTGGGCTTAGCTGTCTGCTTCACAGTTTGGCTACGTTTTTCTCATTGTTGTTATAATGATTTCAATGGCTAAGGTCTTCGGTCTCCCCTTAAACGTTCGTGCCTTCATTTATATTCTCAATTTAGTTAAAGTTTTATTGGCTCGTCTCTCTTGCATACATCCATACAAATACAATGAGGCAAACATAAATACGCACACAATAACACACACACACACACACACTTACACACATACACACGCTTAAAGGATTAATTTGAGTTTAAGACTAAACCGGTTTACTTTAGCAGGTTTTTGAAAATTTCTCATATTGTTTTCTCGATAAGCAAAATAAGAAAAAAAGAAGCGATTACTTTGATTTAACCGCTCAAACTTGATCATAACCTAGACTTGTTGTCCAAAAAATCTTATAAAGTTGTTTAGAACATTTTATGCGAGAAAATCGTTGAGAGGGAATACTTAACTTACATCCTTTTTCATTGCTTCCAATATTAGAGATTTTAATTCATTTAAACAATGATTAATACGCGCGCGTCGGCGTTTTTCCATAATCGGTTTATTGGTCTGGAAGGAAAGAGAACATAAAAAAATGTAGAATAAACGATTAGCTTGAAGTTTTATATTTTTTGTTTGATTAAAGCATAAAAAAAGGTTACATTAATAAAAGCATACAATCGAGTCGAGTGTAAGATACAAGAGGAAATTTTTAGGTAATCTTTCATTGCATAATCCGGCAGTGCTGATGCCAAAAATGTTTTTTTTATATGCGAGAATTTATATGCGGCCCCTAGTCGCTTTGGAGTTAGTATGTCCGAGTATATGGTTTACATTACATGAAAGTTATAACGAAGCAATAGCAATCCGTGATTGAAGAAGTCTTGGTAGAATAGTAGTAGTTTCGCACTTTTTAAAAGTAATTGAGAATAATGATCTTCAACGAAGAGCTGGTTAGTCCATTGTTCCCAAATATGAACAATTTTTGAACCAAAGTGCTCTAAATGTTAAACAAAAAACCTAAGGTTAACATAACTGACGTCCAGTCGCCGTAAGTGTGTACTCTGAAAACGATCGCTTTGCAAGAAAGTTGAAAAAGATAACCCTTACGGCGATATATTCCGATTCTGAACATATGTGGAGCCATTTTTTGGAGTTTTAACAAAATTATTCACAGTTTTAATGACTGCTCAAAAATGAAATATTTTTATTAATTAAAATTGTAAATGTATACCATATATTCGGACAATTAAGGAAAGGTGAATTTAAATTACATTTTTAAAGACGGAGGAAAACTTGGTTACGTAAAGATAGGCTGCGGGATATTGTACTGCTTACAAGCACACTTCGCTGGTGGATACGAAAAGTAAATCTTTCAATATTTTACTTTCTATTGCCATTATTATTTGAACACTCAATTGATGGCTGCAGTATAACGCATTGTAACGATTACTCAATATGCTATCCCTAGTAAAGTAAACCTAGAGAATATACATTGATCGCATTCGGCAATCTCAGTTTGGAAATCATCTACATCGGTCTCCATAAAAACCTTCTGCAGACGAAGGATTGCAATCAGAAAAGAGAATATTGCGGCTGGAGTCTGAAACTAAATTTTCCAGTTACCGTTAATCGGCCTATTTAGGTCTTCTTTATTTATAAAGCATTAGGATTAGGATGAATAGATTACACACATGACGACGCAAATTTACTGGCTTAACACGCTGACAAAGCGCAAATTCAAACCTCCTTTCTTCGATTTTACCATAGTTAAATTCTACGATCATGTAATTGACATTAAATATGTAGAAGTGAAAGGCTTTAAATTCAGAAAAGATGTTGATTATTAACGCTTATCACTGACAGCAAACAAGAAGATAATATATTTTCAACAAAAAAAAAAAAAAATGTAAGAAATGTAACAAGTAAAACTCGCTCCCATCTAGGACGGTTTCAAACGACTTTGCGAAAAATTCAAGCAAAGGAAGAAATATGAAATATGGTCACAAGTAAAATAAGAAATCATGAACTTCTTTAGATGTGCATCTAACGTACAAATCCGAATTTTAGGGCATGAAATATATCTTCCAATCCTCAGATCACACTCCAAAAAAAAAATGTATGCTATAGACTGTTAGGGATACAAACAATTTTCAAATTTCTAACCTTTTATGTTAATAAGTTCTTTTCAACTTTCCTGAAAGGAACTAAAATCGCCTCTGGCAATGGCACAACAAAAAGTAGGCAGACAGTACAACCCTTCTAACAGAATAACTTGAGTTTAGCCAGTTTGAAAAAGCTACTGAGTATAGAGGACTAAACATATAACTAAATCGCTTTATCGCTTTCTGCGCTAATAATCAAGCGAGTAAGAAAAAGTTCCCTAAGATATGATTTTTTAAGTTCAAGTATTGTAGTTGGGGGAGACTGTTTTGCTCAAAAGCTCAACTTTCCAAGAATTGATAGAAACTACTCAGAAGTCTTGAAGAAACTGAATTCCTTTGGTGGACAAATGATGGGAAATTGATTGCTTTTTTGAAAGTGTGGATTTCACGCACAGCGTTATACTTACCTTTCTTAATTCGGCCTTAGACATGCCTGCGGTATTTGTACCGTGATTAGATCCATTATTATATTGATTTTGTCCATTCGAATTCGATTGATTTTGATAGTTATCATTATAACTATTCGAACAATCGAAATCGTCATCTGATTGAAACTCATTTTTATAATCCATATTCTCGGGCAAATATAGAATTAAATGATCATTAATCGTGTGTGGGTAAAGCAAGCAAGTGGGAGAGTTAATCCAAATTTGATGCAGCGTTTAAAACAAATTAATCCATAAGTTAGCAAATGAAGCGGGAAAATTAATCCATAAGAGTAAATTAATATTTTTTCACTTTTAATTAGAAATTTTTTTTTTTTTTCTTTTTTGTTATATTTTTATATGAAATCGTAACACATTGATTTAATGTTTTCAACAGTTTTAAAAATAATTGCACTTTTTTTTTTTTCTGTTGATCATAACATATGTAATATGATAAAAACAAATTCGTTTAAATATAAATGTTCTAATTACGAAAAAATAAAATAATAAAATAAATGTTTTGTTTTTTTTTTTTAAACTAAAACAAAAATCCGTAATAATAAGTAAAACCGTTCTAAACGAACAACCAAAGGATACTGATCCTCAGACAGCAGATCGCTGCTGTTAAGTCAATGTTTAACGAAGCAGTGTGTGGTTTAAAAAAGAAGAAAACAAAAAAAAGAAAAAAAAAAAAAAAAAAAGAAAAAAAAATACTCATACATTACTGTTTGCGCAGACTTGACAGCATTAAGCAAAACGGCACTCAGTGTCCTTTTTTTCTCACGGTATTTACGCTATGATATCATGTTTTCTGTTTACCACACTCATTAGTATTTACCTAAGTACCTAAGAGATCTAGGTATGTTGTTACTAAAATTTGAGTGAAGTTTTTCTTGTTTTTGTTTATAATAAGTTTTTCTTCCTTTTTTTTGTGATATTTTGAGTGTTATTGCGTTTTATTTTTTTATTATTGTTATTATTATTATTATTATTATCATTATTAATTTTTTTGTTTAACCGAGACTTCCCGCAGTTCCGGTGCTATGATAGCCGCATGTTAAACTGTTATGATATCAATTCTGATAAATTAGCATATTTGAGGTTTACGGTTCTGGTTTGAGTGCTTGCGTGTATGTTGATCTGCGTGTTGATTGACCCTCATCCATTGCTTCACATTCATGTTTTTTCAGTGTCCCCCTTATAGCATTTTAACTCATAATAAAATTGTTATTCTTATGCACATAATATATATATATATATATAGTGTTTTTGGGTATTTTATGGCGACGTTTTAATGCTAATATCATTGCGTGGATGTGTTAAGCGAATTTTTGTTACGTTACGAGTAAAGCTTAACCAATTTGAGTGCTTCAACTAATTGTTTGTATTGTATGTGAGTGACAATACTGCAACTGAATTTACTTACACTGCAAATGCGATTTCCATTAGTTAGCTAAGTTTTTCTCGAGTCCGGAAATGAGATAAGATTATCTATTTAATAAATATTAAGGTTCTAAGCTTAATAAGTTTGCCTTATTGCGACTAGGTTCAAGCCACTGAAAAAATTAATTACAGAACGGTATTAAATTTTACTAAGTTAGATGTACGTCTGAGTGCCGAGTAGATAAAGGATCTCAACTAGTAATTTAATGATTGTGGGTTGAAATTTCAAGCACGCTAGAGCTTTCATTGAAGTCGATTTTAGCTTCAGATGCTAATGGTATAAGACGTAGGCTTCTCTCGTTATATTAATTATAAGAATAACAATAACATAACTAAGTTTGGCAGAGTTTTGAAAGCATTAC